TAAAGGGATAAAACTACCACTGTGCTCAGGTCCTAGCTTGCAAGTTACTCCTAACCAGCATCGTGGGCTAACCTCTCAAGATAAGGCCTGGACTATTCTGAGGATGTTTGCTCACTTGACAAATAGTAATTGGTTCTCAATGTGCCTGCTGGGGCACATTATGATGCTGAAAGTTGTAGCTGGATGCTAATGTTCTTGGGACAGCTGGTTTTGTAAGGATCCTTGGGAAATGAGTCCTAGGAAATGGATGCTGACCCTGGAAGGGCACAGGCCCAACTAAAAACAGTTTTGATGCAAGAAAGCCAACATGGTAACTAGAAAAACTGTGTGCAATCTTAAGTCCTCACGGGCAGGATGTTCAAGTCACCCCTAATGCCATGTGTTGGAGTCCCAGCTGCAAATGAGGCTGGAATGTTGGAAGGTAATTTAGGTCACTAGGACACAATGGTCAGTCTCAATGAATGGGATTAGTGCTCTTATAAAAGAGACCCCAGAGAGCTTTCTAGTCTTTCTTCTATTCTATGAAGATGTAAGACAATCCCTTTGGAGGAAGATCCTCACTAGAACCCAACTATGTCACCACATTGATCTTTTAGCCATGAGAAAGCAACTCAGTCTCTGGTTCTTTGTTAGAGCTGCCTGAGTAGACTAAAATGCCCTTCAAAGGAAAGGACACCAGCTGCTAGACTTTCATTCTTAAGACCTAAAACTTACCATCCACAAATTTGTGTACTCCAGACTGGCCTAGAATTCATTATGTAGCTGATGATGACCTTGAACTGCTGATACTCCTGATTCTCCTTTCAAGTACTGCAATTACAGGTGTGCCACCATGCCCCGTTTTATGTGCTTCTGGGGTCATGCATGTTGGACAAGCACTATATCAAACGAACTATCTCCAGCCCCTCACACAAGGGTTAATCTCCTTTTTCAAGAGTGTGTGTGTGTGTGTGTGTGTGTGTGTGTGTGTGTGTGCGCGCTTTCTGTGCATTGTTGGGTAGTGTGTGGAGGTCAGAGGGCAACCTTGTGGACTTGGTCTTCTCCTTCCACCTTTGCGCATGAGTTGTGGGGATTGAATTCCGTTGCCAAGCTCTGTGCAGCAAGTACAATCACCACTAAGCCATCTTGCCAGACATGCACACACACGTGGGCAGATACCAAAACCACCTTTCTAGATTTTTAAGCCACGGCTTGCAAATTAGCCATTCCCAAATTAAGTTCAAAGAGCAGACTATTCTTTTTTAATTGCTGCAACATTTAAAAAGTGTGAGGACCCAGATTTTTGGCTTCTCTTAAAAGACCGGGATGTGTGATGGCGCTGGACTCAGCAGCAATTAGCAAGAGGTGGGTAGCAGCTGCGCAGCTTAGATGGCCACCTGCTCTCCAGCTTGGTCACCTCTACCACACTCACTTCGGTGAGCATATAACTTGTCCAAACAGGGCACTTCTGAGGGTGAAGGAAGTGCCATTAGGAATTCCCTGGACCACAGCATAAACCAGGACTGTTATATCCAACAAGGACATGTTACTTCCCTGTCACATTTCTTCCCTGTCTCACTTGCTTCATCTTTCTTTGTGCTGTTATTTGGGATTTGTCTCCTAAAATCTGGTAAAACCTCATGAAGACAGAAGTATAAAATGAGGAAGTGAAGGTTGAAAAAGAAACCAAGGCGATTCCAAGCAGTATTTCAAATAAGCTGCAAGGCCGGTGAGATGGCTCAGGGGCTGCAGATGCTTGCTACCAAACCTGCTGGTCTGAGTTCGAACCCTGGAACCCATGTGGTAGAAAGGAGAGAGCCAACTCCCACAAGCTGTCCTCTGTGACCTGCACACTCACGCTGTGTGAGCATGTGTATGTGCAACACACACACACACATACAATGAAAATTAAAATAACCAAATAAAATGAACATCAATTCTACCAAGCCTATAAATCATATATATCCTTTCTTGCTCAGAGCTGTTCCGTGTGTCAAATGTGACCTTCTAGGCTCCCTGTGTATAGGTCAGGGACGCACAGCACTGCAAGTTTTAATAAGCAGACAGGACATAGTGACAAGCACAACTAATCAAACTGCAGAGAACAGCCTGTTTCTAATCAGGGAGGTACAGCATGGCCACTTAACTGCATTTCTCAGTTAACTTCATGCTGCTCCATGGGGGTAAAAAATCCCTGATAAGATAGTTGCTTCACATCCTAGCCTAGACCCTTTGATGGTCTTTGTTTGAACTTTTTATTAAATGGCTTTAATTACATATAGTGTTGGCTTAAAAATGTTTTCTCTTTACTTTGCTGCAGAGAGTAACAAAATATCCCTGTCCCCAAATGTATAAGAAACCTCATCTCCCACTGACCACTTGTCTTAGTTAGGGTTATTGTTGCTGTGATGAAACACAATGACCAAAAAGCAAGTTGGGAAGGAAGGGTTTATTAGGCTAACACTTCCACAGCACTGTTCATCACAGAATGAAGTCAGGACAGGAACTCAAACAAAGCAGGATCCTAGAAGAGAGGGGGGGGGGGTGTTACACAGGCCATGGAGGGCTATTTACTGGCTTGCTAAGCCTGCTTTCTTAGAGAATCCAGGACTACCAGCCCTGAGGGGACCCCACCCACAATGGGCTGACAATGGGTTAAACTCTCCTCCATCAGTAATTAAGATAGTGCCTTACAGTTGGATCTTATGGATGCATTTTCTCAATTAAGGTTCCCTCCTTTCAGATAACTCTAGTTTATGTCAAGTTGACATAAGACTAGCCAACACAGCACTGCATTAATTTGAGCTATTCAAAGCTTCAAACCCTTTTAGCCATCTTCAGCATGTGACTAGTCTCAACTTGTGGCAGGGCTGTGGGGTTGGTGGCTGACAATTGTTAAACACCTGTAGGCCTCAGCATGGTACCATGGACACATCTGTCAGGCCACCTCTTCCCACTGGGATAGTCTCGTTTCAGCCTTACAGCCTCAACCCAGAAGCAAGTCAAAATAAAATGGAGGGAGGGAGGGATGGTGGACAGAGATTCTTGCCATGTGACCCAGGCTGGTCCTGAACTCACAATCTTCTTTCACTGTCTCTGAAGTGCTGGGATCACAGGCAGGTGCCAATCAATATTCCTACTCATAACTAAGAATTTGCTACGATGGTGAACAGTTGTGCATTACTCAGGGGAAGCTAGAATTAAACCTGGGAGTTGAGAAGTGACATAATTGCTGGCAAACTTCCAGAAAGGCTCAAACAACCTTCTACTGAACCTCAGTTCAAAGCACGAGACAACAGCTCCTCACAGACATACCTCTAGGGTCAATGAACTATGAAAGCATTTGCTAAGTTGTCTGCCAAAACACTCCAAAGGGGGCCACTGAGGTGACTCAGGGAGTAAAGGCACTTGCCTCCAAGCCTGACAGCCTGAGATTGATCCCTAGAGCCTAGACGGTGGAAAGAGAGAACCACCCCTGAAAGCTGTCCTCTGTCACATAAGAGTCATGACATATTTGTAAACACACACAGATGTTAAAAACTGCCCCAAAGACTGGGCTAAACTTATTTTTACTGTGCATTAGCACGGCCTTAGAGCCACTAATTATATAATGTAGACAGGCAGGTAATGTATATTATTAACATTCCTTTAAATCCAACATGAAAACTACTTTAGATAATAAATGAGAAAATCTGGAGCAAGATTTTTTTTCTCATGAGAAACCTTTAGGACAGTCCCTGTACCATGGAAATTTAATACTTTACTAAATTTACTACCACCAACAAAAAGTCAACACAGTAGAGGGTTTTTGTTTGCTTTTTTAATTAAAAATGTTTATTGGCCATTGCTCTTAAAACACATTTAAAACATAAAAGAATTTTTCAAATGTGCTAATAAGAAAAAGACCTAGGGACCTGAACAATGTTTAACAGAATTTTCAGTGTTTTGGACATAAATAAAACTCATAAATTTATATGGATTCTTAGTACTCCTTCAATAGGTTTGTATTGACCAAGAATACAAACATAAACAAGTACAAAGTACATTCAATACAGATCACTGAGAACAGAAACCCTGTTTCTGTAAGTATCCTTTGCATCCGTGAAAAGCCATTATACCACTAAATGGAAAAACAAAGTTGGGTTTCTAAAACATAAAAATGCAATAACTACATAATTACTTTATACAATGTTCAGTAATGCCCACTATAAATTAAGCCAATAAAATAAGAAATGCATTTCTTGTACCTACAAAAAAAATGAGTACTTTAAATTGTGTTTTTATAAAAACTACATATATACATATATGTTTTATGTATTCCTTAGAAAAATTGATAAATATAGAAAAGCACACATACAAAAAACAAAATGAGACAAAACAAAAAACTACCTGTCATGCCACCAACAAAAATATAGAATCACAAAGAATCCAGGATGGACAACCAGCCTCAGGGCCTGCAGATGCCAATCACCAAACACTTCAAACTACAGAACAAACATATTGATGCACTAAAAAAACAGTGGATCACCTCCCGCCCAGCACACCTTGGCACAGGAGTTCGAGATGGCCTATTGGCTGGTCTGTGCATACTGCCAGCCTGAGGAAAGAGTTTCACCTGGGAAACAGAGCGAGGACTTAGAAAATGAACATCAGCGTTGATCGGGAGATAGACTATGCAGAACTGTTTCTATCTGTAGGAGAAATCACAGTGGGAGAGAAGAGTAGGGAGTCAGTCAATGCACGATCCTCAGCTGAGGAGAAGGGCCCAGATACCTCCCAGGTGAACTGAAAGCCCCTGATGCAGTGCTGTTCCTCAAAGTCATGAAGGGTTCTGAACCAAGACCATCTTCATGACAACGTTTTCCTGGATTATCTGACTGATGAATTACCACCAGATTGTCTTGCCATGCTTATTTTGTTTGTTTTTCAAGACAGGGTTTCTCTGTAGCTTTGGAGCCAGTCCTGGAACTGGCTCTGTAGACCAGGCTGGCCTCAAACTCAAGAGATCCACCTGCCTCTGCCTCCCGAGTGCTGGGATCAAAGGCCTTGTCAATGCCACCTAGTATTTGCCATGTGTTTTTTTCTTTAAACAAGGACAAGTTGGACCCTGGAGGGGACATTCTGTTTTACTAAATCAAAACGTGTTAACATGAAATTGTCCCCTAAAAAGATTTTAGAGATTCTCCATAAACCTGTTTCTACATTTGCCCAAAAGCCCCTGAGAGCATGAGAAGAAGCAAACAAAAAACCCTTCTTCAAATTAGTTTGATTTCTTCCCCAGGCAACAGCTGTGCCTCCAGATGACAAGCTACCCACACAGTCTTCCCCACTCACCCATCTAAGTAGTTCCTAGAACCTCATCATCCTTTCAAAACTCTCACATCTAATGCTCTTGTCTTCAACTAAATGAATCTACTAGTGGAATAGCCTAGAAAATTGTAAAAGTTATGGCTCAAATCATTCTGATCAGTCTGGTCCACTGCAATCTCTAGAAAGCCTTCCTTCCTCCACACTCCCATGGGACTTTGAGGCAGATGATCTTCATTCCCTATCATAAACACTAAAAGCTCAGTTCTCTAGTCTTTACTGTTTTTGGAGACAAGACCAGTTTGCATTTTCCAGTTCTCAAGACATTTGTCTGTGGATGAGTTCTTTCAACTGTGCCAGCGTGTCACTTTTCAGTGCTTCCCGGATGGAGCAGAAAAATCTGAAGTAGTGTTCAAAGTTGTGCATCATCAGCAGGACACCGGCCAGGAGCTCGTTGGTCACCAGCAGATGGTAGATATATGCTCGTGTGTGATTCTTACAGCAGTAACAGGAGCACCCGCTCACGATCGGTCTAAAATCTGCCTGGTACCTGGGAGAGAGAGCAAGAGCGAGCTTAAGACATGCTGACAGACACAACCTTATAAATCTGGGGCCGGAGACATTCACAATAGTCACTCATCCATCACGAGCATTACCAGTGCCAAGGCACATGGTGTTAGGAAATGCTCTTCGGGCAAATGACACTCCTCCACTCCCGAGTAGTGTCTGTAGCCACTGCACAGCCTTCATTACTTATCAATGCTTACAAAGCTTCACACATCTACCACTTTAGCCAATGTCTACATCTTCTCTTGGAAATGACCATTTTGACTATCCTATCCTTTTAAAGATGTAGACCGCTATTGCATATTTAGGAGGGCTCTGGAAGGATACTTTGCTCAGGGGCTTGAGTCTGGGCTCTGCAACTCAACTGAGCATGCTGTTTAAAATCCAGCTATGTACGTGTTTCTTATTCATGAACAAAGATATTAACAGCCCACCTCCCTGGAATTGTGAAAGTTATTAAAGGAGCCAATACAGCAAAAAATTAAAAAAAAAAAAGTAAATAGGATTTAACCCTGATATTAGACTTGTGTTACCTAGATACTATATGCATAATATTTAGGTAACACTAAATATTATACTTAGGTAACACTAATTATTATACCTATCTTTTATTGCCTACTAAGGTACATGACTTTTCCAAGGTCACATAATCAAATGCAGTAGTAGAATTTGTCCCCAAAACTTCAACCTAGCACTAAGAATAAGCATACTACAATTTCCAATTATATCTACAATGCAAAGGCTATTTCAGTAGTAAGCGTTTATATTACCCTAATATTTGTTTGAAAGGAAATAATAGTTTTGGCTACTTTAAAGAAAGTATTAAAAGATGTAGATGTTATCACTTCAGACCCCACAATGAAGAAACTACAATACAATATAAACAGGAAGTCTGGGTTTTATATTCTTTTATAAATTCTCAGGTCTATACTTAGGATAGCCATGGTAAGTCAGAACCCCTAAAACATCTCCTTGTATAAACCAAATACACCAGGTGCTACACTCACAGAGAAACCATGCACTGAGACTGGTGACTACCACTTTTCATCAAGTGCGAAGTTACAAGACAACTCAATACATTCTTCTTTTTGTTTTTGCTTTGAGACAAGATTTCCTATGTAGCTCCAGCTGGCCTGGATTGCTAGATAGATCAAATCAGACTTCCAGAGCTCCACATGCCTCTTCCGAAGTGCTGGGATTAATGGTGAACCCAACATGACTCCCTCAGTCCATTCTTCATTGATAGTGCATTTAGAACCTGAATATAACCAAGGGGACTTAGCTCTTTTCATTGTACAAAAAGCTCTACTATGTTTGACTTTGCAATCCTTATTTTGCTGCTGTTATTAAAAGTAATCAGGAAAAGAAAAAGAAATCAAGCAATGGATTCAGCCTCTTTCTGACAGTTTTTCTAAAGCAATAGTTATTTAGCTTAGTGTTCCTACAAGACAAAGTACCCAAAGTCATCTGAAGTAGAAAAAAGGTTTTTTGGAACCATATTTGAGAAGGCCTAAGTAATGTCCAACTATAAATATTTTACAAAGTCATAAACTGAAAAGGGAACAGTTACATAAACTTCAGACTGAAATTAAAAAGTCAGAATTCAAAACCCAAACTTCAAAACCAAATTTCTTACTTTTTCTCCTTCAGATTAATTTCAAATGATGTCATTTCTTGGTTGCACCCAGTTGCTTCAATTTCCTTTATTTGGTCCAAGCATTTTATTTCTTCTTGGATTCCATTTTGTTGCAATACTGAAGGGAAACCAATAAAAAGTCTTGAATAATCAGATAAAGACTGGAAAATTTTATTCTAGTTATAATTTCACAACCTTTGACCCTATAATTCCATTCTTAGAATTATCCTAAGAAAATCACCTAAGAAAAAACAAATAACAGTACATTCCTGGATGGCTGAGACTATTATCTATACCATTAAGACTACTGAAGATATCTAACCAAGTCCAAGCTAATCATGGATCTAAGTCCACCATATATAAAGGAATGATTAAAAAGTTAAAAACAACAAAACGGGGGAGGTTATCCCTATGACTTATTAGGACGGACATGTAAATAAACTGGGCTTTGTGATAGCACATATTCCAAGTACATTAATGTAGAACATGCTTTTAATTATGTCTTCTGTTTGGAGACTCTGGCCCTCCAAGGAACCCACAGTATCCTTGAGCTCCTTGCTTAATGCAGGAATATTTCTTTGAGCTGCAAGACAAAGACCAGCTACCCTAGAGGAATCCAGCTCCCTTGAACACAGGAAGTAGAGAGGAGGCATTCAGGACAGGAATGATAGCAATCTGTGTGGCTCCAAGATAGCCAGATGGTTCTAGATGGGTAATTTTAGTAAGCAACACAACACAACTACGTACAAAAATGCTATGGAATTGTCCACACGGACTGTGTGCAGAGATGGGAGCACAATAAAGCTTTGGAATTGTAGAAAATCCTTGTCATTTGGGGGAGAGCTGACAACTCTCTTTAAAATTCCAGATTTTATAGTACACGCAGACACAGACATGATTAAAGAGTTGAAAGGGAAGCCCTTCTCTACAAGCTGGACGGTCTTGTGTGGGCCACTCACCCCTGAAGACATGCTTCAAGGGAGTAAGTAGCCCGTGGTCTGTGACCCAGGCCCTCTTCCACTACCATGTGTGGCAGAATCTGAAATTGCTTGTCCTGACTTTGAAATGAACAAACAATGAAAGAAAAGAGCATCACTTCAAAGTAATATTAGCAGAAGAAAGTAGCTTTCATATCTCAGTATGTAAAAACAACCCAGAAAAGCAAAAGGCGACACAAGGATCCAATGGCGGTGAGATTCCCTGGAAGTTAATTGCATGGGGCTTGCAAAAGGGAGACAAGAAATCTTTTGTGGATAAAAAAACAAATTAACTTTCACTAAGCTGCTCAAAGGTTTCCTTCCCTTAGATTTTCATCATGACTAACTCTGAATTTTCTTTTATTCGGGCTGTGAACAAAGGAGACTTTGTTTTTGTTCACCACAAAAATCAGATCCTAATATTAACGTCCTACACATATAGTATTAAGTGCCTTGCCCTAGGTGCCAACATCCCAGGGAACACAAAGAAGAAATCAAGATGGACCTATAATGAAAGGCTGGTGCTACGTGAACTTATTTGTGCCTTGTGACTTGGACCAAAAAGTCACAGGAAATAGGAGAAACTGGAAAGCTAAGAGTGAGGTGAACGCCAAAGACTCACATGTGTCTTCAGGATTCAGCTGGCAATCAAAGGTGAAAGTCAGGGCACAGCCCCGCTCGGTCACTTGATACGGGAAAAAACTCTCAAACAAGTCCACTCCTCTTTCCACGCACTCGAGCACTTCATCTGGCCGGCTGACACCGCAGATGAGCCTGGAAAGGCAGTCATGAGAACACTGATGTGAGGCAATGGCTGGAAAGAAATCAGAGAATGCTTCCAAATCCACGGGACATGAAAACAGTCCCTGAGCTCGAGCTCGGGGTGGCAGGCATGGGCCGTAATATGAGGCAGGACTTGGAACTCTGAAGGAAAGGGACATGTGCTTGACACCCAGTTCCTCTGGCTATTTAATCGCTGTGTCACTTTGGGTAGTTCCTTTACATCCCTGTTCTGGTTGTCTTACTTCAAACCAAGAGCAATTATAAAGATTCCCACACATCATCATGAGGCCAGAGGAGGCAGCTGAAAGGCAAATAGTATCATTTCTAACATTTTCCATTCCCATCTTTCTGATCCACCTCCCTGGTCACAAGCTGAACTTTACACCCTGTCTAAACACTGCACAGATGTTTGGAAAGGAATATAATTTGCTTTAGTTCTCCATTTTTGATTATACTTTACAGGTTCATTCAAGAGTTCCTCTTGCTCTCAGAACTTCAGGGTCTAAGACTCTAGCTGGCTTTCCTTTTATTTTCTTTGCTAATGAAAGTCTGCACTGGGAAATAAAATGCTGTCTTTCAAGGGAAGGGCTACGGCAGTCTGGGAGTATTAATAATTTTCCAGCAGGTTTTGACAGGAAAGCAAGATGCAGAGATGTACATGATTAGGACTGGCTAGCTGCAACTATTTCTTTTTTTTTTTTTACTGTTTGTTGTTCTATCCATAGCTCTTTTCATGAATTAGAGGAGAAACGCTTTCATACTTTCTGATTTCTTAAGAGTTTTTAAAATGGGCTTATATAATATTAAACAAGCAGAACCCTTATATGTATGCCAACTTTCCTGACTACAGCCTCCTTCAAGTCCTCTGAGTTTCAGAACTCCACTCCAACTGAAGCTGGCATTTCTACACACTTAGAGAAAAACAATCCCAGCTTTCAAATTCAGAAAGAGACATCTGTGAACACTTAGCACAAAAAGTCCAGAAAAATGACTAGAAAAGCTCATGCTGAGCTGTCCGTCTGTGGCACAGTGAAGGGGGTGATGTTAAAAATTGGGGTGTGTGTGTGTGTACATGCGCAGGATGGCTGTGAGACCCTGTTCTGGGGGAATCTTCACATCCATGTACACAGGTGTGATTCACTTAGCTGTTTCTAAGATACATGCATGCGATTATATCTGGCTTTCAAAAAGTACTAGGATTACACACATCCTGTCCTACAGCCCTCGAGAACAAAATAGCATCTCAGAGCCAAATTTTCCAATATATCACAGGTTAAAAGGCAAGAATATTCACATTAAGGATAAAAGACTACTAAACAAACAAACAAACCTTTTTAAAACTGACTTATAAGATTGTATGTATTTTTCACAATTTATTTTGGAATTTGTAGAAATGGGTCATTCTAGCCAAGACAGCATTATCTCATACAATTACCATTTTTCTGGTGACAACACTTCATTTGATTCACATTCTGTTCAGTTTTCAATAACTTATCACATGAGCCATAGCCATCAGGCCACAGATCAAACCCACTGAACTTACTCCTCTGACTTAATGTAAGTATCCATCCTTTGCCCACCACCCTCCTTGCTCCTGCTCTCCCCAACCTTTGACAAGCACCACTGTAGCCTGACTTCAAGGAGAGGGACAATTTTCAGAATCGACAAGAGTGAGATCACACGTAGAAGCCCTCTTTCTGTGGCTGCTTTATTTGTCATTCACTGTAAGGACCTTCAGGGTCACCTACAGTTTTTTGTTTTGGTGTCCGTATTTTTTAATAAAGCAAGAAAAGGCAGGCTATCGCTCAGTTGGTGAAGTGCTTGCCTAGCATGCACAACGCTCTGGCCTCCATCCCCAGCACTGTATAAACCAGGAGCCAATGGTACACGCCTGTCATCCCAGCACCTGGGAAGCAGAGGCTGGAGATCCATAGCAAGTATGAAGCCAGAATGGAATACACAAGACTCCACAGAAGTAAAATTAAATACACGAAGAGAAGAAAACTTAGGCACTAGTGTGACACCAGTTGTTCTGAAACCCAGAATATAGGGATCCTCTCATCTCTGTCACCACTGCAGTACTGAGATATGTGTAAACAAAAGAACCAAGCCCACTAGTTAGATCAATTCAAGAAACAAAACATGCCACTCACTGCTTGTCGCAAAGGCAGAAACTTCCTGAAGGTCCTTATTAACAGAGCACACCCTCATGCCCTAGGCACTGCAGATTTCAACATGCTGTGATTTAAACTAGAGTGGCACGTGACTTTACACTTGTCTCCAGGTACCGTGTTACAACAAAATTAAAAAAAAAGTGTTTGTATTTGGTTCAATAGTGAGAGGATACAGGGTAACATTTGTCGTCATTTATGAGAATCAAATCAACCAATCTCATGCCAACTCTCCCCCTCTACATTCTGAAGCCAGGAGAGGAATCTCAATGGAAACTGCCCCGCTGGCCAGGAATAAGACAGGAAGGACATAATCAAGACATGAAAAGCACACCCTGTGTAGACAACATCACACTGTCACCAGCACCCCTGCTACCTCCCAGGAGGGTGACCTGCATCCTAATCCAGCACTGGCCTTGGTTTATCCTCTGGCAGCTCTGCGGTAACTGATGACAGCAAGTGCAGCCTGGTTTCTGTGAGTGTGGGATTCCCTTGAAAGCCGTCCAGAAGGAAGCCCCCCACGGGCCGCTTGGCTGTCTCTCGTGCCGACCTCAACCTCTCTTCCATGACATCTCCACCTTCAATCACTCCAATAACCACACTTTTCTGAAGGGCCTGAGAGAGGAAAGAATCAAATGCTTTTAAAACTACTACAAGAACCTCAGACTTACATTTGCATGAACTTTGCATGGAAGTCCAATAAGACAGAAAGAGCTCACTGAAATGTTTAAGGGTGATGGTGTACCCCAAGAACCTTCAGAGCGCTAAAGAACACTATAAAAACAACATGTTTTGGCCAGCAGCAAGGCAGCAGGCTAGAGTCCTGTGGGCAGGCTGCTCCACCACTGCCACTGTAACCTACAAGTCCCACTCCACGGCCCAAACCCACCAAAACCCATCATCACCCCTTGGCCAACCACCCCAAGATCAGCAGTCCCTAGAGACACAAGCATCACCCACGCCAGTTGGAAGAACAGACTCCATAGGCATAGGAACAACCCACACCAGTTGGAAGAACAAGGTTCAAGTAAAGCGTGCACTAGCCAGAAGAACTGGACGACCCCACAAACCTCAGCTGAGACAACGCTACTAAAGCTGACAACCAATCAATTACTAGAACCCTTGACCATTCAGGCCAAAAGACAGTAAAGGAAACAGACATGAAAGGAACAAAAGACCCATCCAACAAAGACATCCCAAGAATCAACACCCCTACCAATCATTATCCCAAACCCAGATGAGCAAACGACAGTGTAGGAACGTCAAGAGCAATGTGGCACCACCAGAACCTAATGGTTCTACAACAGCAAGACCTGAACATCCCCATGCAGATGAAGCAGAAGAAAATGACCTTAAAAACAGCCTTATGATGATGACAGAGGCCCTTAAAGAGGAAAGGAAAAATTCCCTTAAAGAAAGAGGCAAAGACAGACAAAAAATTGGAAGAAGTCAATAAATCCCCTAAAGAAAGACAAAGAAAACAAACAGGTGAAGGAAACAGTTCAAGACTTGAAAACTGAAATAAGAGGCAATCAAGAAAACAAACTGAGGGAATTCTGGAAAAGGAAAATCTCAGTAAACAATCAGGACCCACAAATGCAAGCATGAACAATAGAGTAAAAGAGATAGAAGAGAGAATCTCAGGTGTTGAAGATGCACTAGAGGAAATAGATTCATCAGTCAAGCAAAATGTTAAATACAACAAATTCTTAACACAAAACATCCAGGAAATCTGGGACACCATGAAATGACTAAATCTAAGAATAACAGGGATAGAAGGAGATAAATTCCAGCTTAACAGAACAGAAAATATATTCAACAAAATCATAGAAGAAAACTTTTTCAATCTAAAGAAGGACATGCCTCTGAAGGTACAAGAAGCTTACAGAATACCAAATAGACTGGACCCCCCAAAAAAAAAAGTCCTCACCAAATAATAATCAAAACACTAAACATACAGAATAAAGAAAGAATATTAAGAGCTGCAAAAGAAAAAGGCCAAGTAACACATAAAGGCAGACCTATCAGAGTAACACCTGACTTCTCAATGGGAGATTGAAAGATAGAAGGTCCTGGACAGATGTTTTGTAGACATTAAGAGACAACAGATGCCAACCCAGGCTACTATACCCAGTAAAACTTTCAATCACTATAGATTGAGAAACAAGATATTCCATGAAAAAAAACAGATTTAAACAATACCTATCCACAAATCCAGCCCTATAGAAAGTACTAGAAGGAAAACTCCAACCCAAGGAAGTTAGCTGCACCCACAATGATAATCTCACACCAGCAAAACCCAAGTAAGGGAAACACACACACACTACCACCAATAACAAAACCAAAAAAATTACAGGAATTAACAATCATTGGTCATTAGTATCTCTTAGTATCAGTGGACTCAATTCACCTATAAAAAGATACAAGCTATCAGAATGGATACAAAAACAGCACTGTCCTTCTGCTGCATAAAAGAAACACACCTCAACTTCAGAGACAGACATTACCTCAGAGTAATGGGTTGGAAAAAACTTTTCCAATCAAATGGACCTAAGAAACAAGCTGGTGTAGCTATCCTGATATCTAACAAAATAGACTTCAAACTAAAATTAATCAAAAAAGATGAAGAAGAACATTTCATATTCATCACAGGAAAAATTCATCAAGATGAAATCTCAATTCTGAATATTTATGCCCCAAATACAAGGGCATCAACATTTATAAAAGAAACATTATTAAAACTCAAATCACACATAGAACCCCACACACTAATAGTGGGAGACTTCAACACCCCACTCTCACCAATGGACAGGTCTGCCAGACAGAAAATTAACAGAGAAATAAGCAAACTAACAGATGTTACAACTCAAATGGACTTAATAGACATCTACAGAACATTTCACCCAAACACAAGAGTATACCTTTTCTCAGCATCTCATGAAACCATCTCTAAAATTGAGCACGTACTCAGTCACAAAGCAAATCACATACAGAATAACATGAACTAAATCACTGTATCTTATCAGATTACCCTGGCTTAAAGTTAGAATTCAACACCACCACAAGTTACAGAAAAGTCTACAAACTCATGGAAACTGGACTATGCTCAACTGAATCACCAAGGAAGAAATAAAGAAATCAAAGACTACCTAGCTAGAACTGAATGGAAATGAATGTACAACATCCCCAAACCTGTGGGCCACTATGAAAACAGTGCTAAGAAGAAAGCTCATAAAACTAAATGCCTACATAAGGAATTTGGTGAAATCCCACACTAGCAACTTGCCAGCACACCTGAAAGCTCTAGAACAAAAAGAGGCAAACTCACCAAGGAGAAGTATATGAGAGGAAATAAAATTGAAGGCTGAAATCAATAAAATAGAAACAAAGAGAACAATACAAAGAATCAATGAGACAAAGAGTTGGTTCTTTGAGAAAAATCAACATGATAGACAAATCCTTATCCAAACTAACCAAAAAGGCAGAGAGAGAATACCCAAATTAACAAAATCAGAAATGAAAAGGGGGGGACATAAAAGAAACTGAGGAAATACGGAGAATCATTAGGTCATACTTCAAAAACCTATATTCCACAAAATTGGAAAATCCTAAAGGAAATGGACAATTTTCTTGGTACCATGTAACAAATTTAAATTAAGAACAGATAAACAATTTAAATCGACCCAAGGAAATAGAAGTAGCCATTAAAAGTCTCCAAACCAAACAAAAGCCAGACTGCTTCAGTAGATGTCTGGCAGGGTGGCACCATGTCCTTTTCCTGCTTCCACAGCAAATACAACGAGCACTGGCACAATTCAAACCACTTGGAAGAAACCACTTATTATACCCAACCTAGAGATTATCTGAGGGGAAAAAAAGAGACTAAAACAGAACATTACAGAGCTTCAGTACTGAATGGTACTAAGATCCATAGCAAGGCACTGGTGGTGCAACACCTTTAATCCCAGCACTTGGGAGACAGAGGCATGTGGATCTGAGTTCAAGGCCAGCCTGGTTAACAGAGCAAGTTTCAGGACAGCCAGGACTACACAGAGAAATCCTGTCTCAAAAAACAAGAACAAAAAAAAGAAAGCAAGCAAACCATAAAGAGTAAAATCCAGTAGCCAAGAGGAAGGAATCACAGAAAAAGGTAAAGATGTATACATGCACAGAGCAGAAGGCTGGCTAGGCCTGCCCCTTCCCTCCATCAGAGCTTTGTGTAGGAAACTCCCGTTCGCGGATATAAGAAGGATGGTTGTGTACTGTACTATTTAAAATGGAACACTTAAGAAAGGAGGCACTATTAATATCAAGATATAAGCATTCTGGATACAGAAAGGGGGCCCAACACTTACTAAGGCTGACTGCAGGAACTCAGAAGCGGGGCTCAAGACTCACTTGGACTTTTTAATCATCTTTGCCACATTCCTTTAGCAAATGTTACAAATACGACAAACTTGGTTAGTAAGCCAATACCAACCACCCAGGTCCGTAACAAAATCACTATGCTGGACTCCTACAAACCAAGTTCTATTCAGGTTAGCAATGAGCTTTCCCCTAATTAAACTTATTAGCCAAAATAAATTTTACTGCTAAAGCCCAAATTTGGCCCCAATGATTTTTCCAGACAAGGCCTCTCTGGATAGCCTAGGCTGGCCTTGAATTCACAACCCCTTTGCCTGAGCATCCCATGTGCTGACTGTCGGCATTAGAGGGACGAGCCACCAGGTATGACTGATCACTTCCTTTGCTTCCTTGCCTCTTCTGCTCTCAAATGCTGTGATTTACTGACACAGCTTCATCTCCATCAGCTCCTAACACTCCACTATTGGCTTCCTCTATGTCAGACATTCTGTTATAGGATAAAGATACAAAATTGGCATGCAGTCCACAGCTTAATAAAAGCAAATGCATAAAGAGATTGGTGTTGTATAGTATGGCTGGGGCGACAGCATAGCACATACAACTTAAAGGGGTAACAAAGGAGGACTGGAACTTCCTGGAAGTGTCAGGGGCAGTTTCATAAATTGGTGAGTATGTAGTTTTAAAAATCACTCTTTGGCTCTTTACTCTCTTGGGCTCTTTGGGGAAGAAGGGACAACACCCAGCTCCCCAAAAAACCCAGACATTTTCTTACTTACAAATGTACACGTTAGCTCGGCTTATGTCTAGTCAGCTTTTATCTTAAATTATCCCTTCTTTTGCCTCTGGGCTTTTATCTTCCTCTTTGTCTGTGTACCTTACTTTCGCTCTTACTGTGGCTAGCTGGGTGGGTGGCCGCTGGTGCCCTCCTCTCCTCTCCTCTCATCCCTTCTCCTCCTCCCAGGTTTCTCCTCCTATTTATTCTTTCTGCCTATCCTTTCTCCTGCCTTGCTTGCTATTGGCCATTCTGCTTTTTATAAGACCAATCAGGTATTTTAGGCAGGCAAAGAATCATAGCTTCACAGAGTTAATCAAATGCAACATAAAAGAATGCAACACATCTCTGCACCGTTAAACAAATGTTCCACCTTAAAATAAAGTAACACACCTTAAAATAATATTCCACAACAGGAAACTTCTTGGGTTCAGCAAAGGAAAAGAGGAACAGGTAGAGACAAAGAATGGAGGAGCAGGGAAGCAGGCGGAGGAACAGCTAAGGCGCATCCTCACCTCAGACTCTTCCTGTAGTCGCAAACAGCTGTCCAGGAACAGAAGGGACCGATCCACAGACTTCCTGGCCCTTTTTATGGAAGTTGTTTCTGCATAAGACGCCTCCCCATCTGAGAGACACTGGAACCAGTCTGGCTGCAGGGCCTCCTGAATTGCCATGAACTTGGAAATAGTCATTTCCACTCGACCTCCAAAACCCCACACAGACACAGACTGTGTGGAGCAAGAGATGAGGAATTAATAAGAATAACATGAAAATAAAAAGGAAATAAAACAGACAGACGTGGAGATTCCTTACGGCTGGAGACATGAGTTCCCATGCTGCGGTGACCTCCCGCCATAAAATTATTTTTGTAACTACTTCGTAAGTGTAAATTTACTACTGCTACAAATCATAATGTAAATATCTGATATGTGATCCCTGTGAAAGGGTTGTTCGAACGCCCAAAGGGTCGAGACCCATAGTTTGAGGACCACAGCTCTACGTTTTACCAACAACATAAAAACACTGATAATCTGTTCTGAACTTAACTCATCTTCAAGCAGCCTTTCTCAATTTTATGAATCATCACAGTCTGCTAAAATCATGAACATAAATAGAGGGCATGAAGGAATCATACTAGCATTTGAGGGCCACCATAACTGGACTTCCTGGGGAAAAGGCTGAGAACACACCTTATTTGTTACATAGCCGGCTGGGCCGGGGCTGACTGGATCGTGCAAGGAGCAGTAGAAGAGCGATTCAGGCATGCCTGTATAGACACAAAAAGAACTGTTCAAGGTGCTATGGGAAAAAGCTTCCCAGCATGCCCACATGTGCTGGTAGATGAAGCAACCCTAATCCCCGCCAACAGTTGGAACCTGATGGAGGATTTAGAGAGGGCCTGTGAAAAGGAAGAAAATGGTTTGAGACCCTCTACCCTAAAAGAATTAAATGTAAAAGCTCACACTGTGCCAACATGACACAAACCTGGACATATCGGAGAAGAGGGAATACAATCGAGAAACTGCTTGCATGACACTGTGGGGCGCTTTCTTGATTAATGATTGATGATGGAGGACCCCACTCACCGTAGCAGTGACATTCCTGGGCTAGTGAGCCCAGGCTCTATACTGAAGCAGCTAAGCAGGCCATGCAGAGCGCAGTTTCTCCGGGGCCTCTGCTTCAGTTTTTGCCAGGATACACAAGCCTTTAAATAAAGCCTTTCCAACCCTGCGTTGCTTTTGGTCTCAAGTGTCTTTACCATGGCAGTAGAAATCCTAACTCCGGCAGAAACTGGTATCAGGTTCAGGGGATACTGCTGAGACAGACCTGACCATGTTGTTTTGGGCAGCACTGTGGAAAGACTTTGGAACTTTGGGCTGGAAAGCAGTCACTGTGTGCTTGGAGCTTAGTGAGCTGTTGTGGGAACCTGGAAGACAATGCTGAGGACAGATGTAGACAGTGGGGGCCTGGCTTGTGAAGTTCCTCAAAGACTCTATGGGGGCCATTCTTACCATACTTTGACTTGAGAATCTGTGGTTCTGGTCAGATGGAGCTGAAGAGTGAGCTATGATTAATAAGACACCTGAACTGCTAACTTGAAACCTTTGCTTTACTGGGACAATCTGTGCTGGTTAGCGGGAACTGAAAAATTAGCAGTGATTCCTTAAATCAGCATCAGAGGTGAAGTCACCAGGGTGTCAACTGGTAGAAGCAGTGGTCCAGACAGGGCCAAGACAGCATCTCATGCTAGCAGCGGAACTTTGTAAGAATCTCCCACATGGTACTGGTTTTGAAGGCATAAAGAGGCCATAAAGAGCTTGGCATTATGAGAGCCCTGGAGAGGAACTGTGTAGAAATACCAGGACTTTGGGGGTTAGGAAGAGAAGCTCAGGACTGGTACCATGTGACAGGGTTGGAGCTCCTGAAGAGAGGCCAGGCCATTGGTGAAGGTGCAGCTTGTGAAGTCCTCAGATTATCAGAGATGGCAGGGCTACAAGACATCCCCCACGGACATCAGTAATTGTGGGATGGAGCTGGCCTCTCCTGTGTGCCGGGTTACATAGCTATCTGTAACTCAGGTTTCAAGGGACCTAGCACCTTCTTCTCACTTCTATGAACAACATGCATGCACGTGGTGCACACACATACATGCAGACAAAACATTCAGACACATAAAATAGTTAAAAAAATGAAAAGTAAACCATATACATGCATGCTAGCCACGGGCACTTAGTGAAAGGCCTGTAAACTTTAAAGCTCGTTGCTGCTGTTTTTACTCCTTTACTCATGGCTCTTTTCAGAGGGGGGGGGGGGTCCACTCAGCTCCCAAAGAAATCAAACACAGGGTATCTTATTCTTATAAACGCCTGGCCTTAACTTGGCTTGTTTCTAGCCTGCTTTTCTTACCTTAAATTATCCCATCTACCTTTTGCCTCTGGGCTTTTAGCTTTCTCTATTTCTGTATACCTTACTTTCACTTTTACTCCGTGGCTGGCTGGGTGGTTAGTTCCTTACATCCTCCTCTCCTTGTGCTCTTGCTCCTTCTTCCTGATTTCTCCCTCTATTTATTCTCTCTGCCTGCCAGTCCTGCCTATCCTTTCTCCTGCCTCTCTATTGGCCATTCAGCTCTTTATTAGACAACCAGGTGTTTTACACAGGCAAAGAATCACAGCTTCACAGAGTTAAACAAATGCAGCATAAGCAAAAGCAACACATCTTTACACGATTAAACAAATGTTCCACAGCGCGACAAACAAAACACACCTTATAATAATATTTTAAAAGAAAGCTAATAATTACAACTGCTCTCCGCCTATGGAGACTTAGACTTCATAACTCCCTCTTCTGATCTAGAGAGGTATCATGCAGTTTCCTTCTAAAGCAGAAGAACAGATGACCAAGGATACAGGAGTCCGCTACTTAATGAGGCCTAGATGTTGGAGGAATTGAGGAGAAAGTGGCCAATCTGCAGCTGCCACAACTAAGGTTTCCCTCCAACTAAATGGGCACAGTATCTGTACCTAAAGTCCTACTTCCAGAACAAAAGATAATACTAATCTACCAGAGCATGACTGCAACCCTCTTCTTTATGAATGAGGCTCATGCATGAGGAGACAGTCCCGGAGTGCATATATCCTATGGCCTCTGCTATAGTCTTTGCTCACAATAGGGGTGTGTGTTGGCCCCACACTTGTTTACCACAACCGCAGGGTCCACCCTAACCTGGCTAACACCCATTCTCCCCGAATCCAGCCAAGATGCCCCTCATCATCTTCATCAAGAATTCTTCTTTATTCTGACCCCCTTTCACATGTACCCAGAGCAGGTTACATGTTCCTGTGGTCTGTCAAGATATATGTATATAACCCTGACTCTACAAATCATCAAGAACCACGTTTCCCTCTGAACCTTCAACCCCCAATGCCTCATTCTTAGATGCCTTAGATGATCCTTTTATTTTTTTTTTTTTTAAAGAAAAAGAAGAGATAAATAAACATATGAGGGAATCACAGTAAGTCGGCAGGACCAACAAACTCTAAATGATCACAAATCACACATACTTATAATTTAAATAGTCCTTACCTATAAAGCTTCCAACCCCTTTCTTATACTCTGCCAAGACTTCATGATGTTCTGCTCTATAAGAAAAACAGACAGTGCACGGCATAGTTATGAATTGTTCTTTAGCTGTTCTGTGTGACACTGGAAGTCCTCTTCTCCTCACCCAAATAAGCCACACCACAGTGAATGCCTCCTTAACAGCAAAGCACACTGCTTTTCAAGATGTCCCACCAGCGGGGGTGAGGGGAGGGGTGGGAGTCATTAGTTAAAATGAAGGTATGCAATTTGCCAGTGGTACATGGGAAGAAAAACCAACAGAACAACTGCTTCAGAACACTTGGAGTTTCTTCCTTTTCCTTGTTCCTTTGAAATCACTATTAACACAATAACTCAGTTACTTGATCATACAACAGTTTCTATTAAACACAGCTTGTACTTAACAAAGTGAGTTGACTGGATTTATCTCATTTCAATACAGTTGTACCAGCATCTATGGGTGCAGAGGGGACTTTGTCCACACCTGTGGCACAGACCACGCCCACTGGGGTGGGGACAGGGGCGGACATGACCTGGGGGAACTAAGTCTGAGGAGGGGGCTCTGGGAGCTCTCTTGCTTGCAGCACGGGGACAGGAGAACATAAGGAGGCATGCTTAGGACCAGGAACCTTTTGGTGTTCATCTGTCTATGTTGTAAGTTATTTCTCCCTGAATAAATGTCTATTCAGCCTATTTGTTTCTCCTGATCCTTATTAAACCTCTATACAAAAGTACATTTTAACTCCATTTATTCTTACACACAAGGAACAATAGAAAGGGCCTGAAAGTTTGAAGGAAATGCAAAGCATCGCTAACAGACAGGTTGGGCTTGTGGTTCCGGGTTAGGATCAAATGTTGTATAATATCTAGTACTTTTTTTCCTGATTTTATTTTTAAAATCTGTAAGTTATGCATGTGAAAAAAAAGAAAAGAAACCTTCCTCTCTGCTGCACATAAGGGCTGGATACCTGAAAGGTTAGGTTCAGCACTCACAAGGTTGACAGTGTGAGCTGGACCATGGCTGGGATCCCATGGATATTATGTAGTGTGTGATTCGTCAGGTGCGGGGCAGAGCCAGTCCTGGTGTACAGAAGACAGCCTGGAATGTCCACTGTGTGGTCGCCTGCTTTGCCCAGGTTTTGTATTTTTCCTAGACGACAGCCATTAACGACTTTGATGAGACTCAGCTTCATTATTAGGGACTCTTCTAGGTTCTGAGAAGAAAACAGCATTAAATTTAGAAGCCATTCATGACATGCAAAGGCTAACTAAGTACTCTGCAAAGAAAGCAACATGCACAAAAATGAATGGCTGCATGTTATTACCTCCAGTTCAAATCTTTCTTGGGGATCAGGATGAGGGCAAGGAAAAAAAAAAAGCAAAAACCAAGATTCTTCCTCCAAAGTCCCAGAGGAAAATGATAACACCAATGTGTGAAATATAGCCTCTGTGTGTGTATTTGCACACATGCACATGCTGATTAAAAAAAAAAAAAAAGCAAATGAAAGGCCTGAAATAGAAAGGTTAATTGTCAAAGAATGGCACACAAGGTCACTCAGCCTTGGAAACATACAGGGGAGGGTCATATCGCTTAAAGCATGTCACTAATTTGAACTACATTTCTTTCTCCAACTTAAGAGAATAGTAAGCAATATTTTTTTTCCTTCTAATAAGTGCTGTTCAACAAAGAAAAGATTCCAAAACAGTATGATGAATATACATCAAAGACTGCCAGATAACAGATTATCTGCAAGGTAGGATTATATCCTAGTTTATTCACATAGTGATGAGAAACTACATGAGTGTATAAATGATCTATGGGTGATTTCATAATGGGAAAGGTAAAACTTTTTTTAAGAAAAAATACAGATATTCTTTCTAACCTCTATAGGTACACCAAGAGGATTTGGAAAAACAAAATAATAATAAACCACCACCACCAACAACAAAACAATGTAGGATGTTGTCAAATAATTAGAACTCAGTGTGAATAATTATGAGTTTTTAAGTTGTACGACAGAGTTTGACAACCCAGCAGGGTTGATCATTTATAAATGTCATTGGAGGGCTAGGGGGATGATGGCTCAGTGGGTAAAGGTGCTTGCCGCCAAGTTTGCCAACCTAGGTTTGATTTCCCCCTTGGAAAGGGGGAGAAAAGAACTAACTCTGCAGAGTTAGCCTTTGACCCCCACATATATCTGGCACAGCACCTACACACATACAAGCACACACTTTTTAAAATTAAATGTCACTGGACACATCAACATTTCATAAATACTATATTACATCTCTTGCCAATTGGACCAAGCTAAGGTTTTGCATGTATGTGATTGCCTGGGTGCTCACTCCCATAAATGCATATATGTAGAGGCCAGCAAGTAGCCCCAACTCCCCAGGATCCATTTGTTTTAGCACCCCAATGGTGACAGGTGCATAACATCCAGACCAGCATTTACATGGGTGCTGGGGATCCAAACCCAGGTCCTCATGCTTGTAGAGCAAGCGCTTTACACACTGATTCATCCCTTCAGCCCCACCCTGAGTTTTATTAGTAAATGATTTACTATAGTTATTATGTGATAAAACTGCAACTGGAGAGCCTATCTTCTAAAGCATCACTTTCAAAGATGATTCCTGTTTAAGATAACCCAACAGAGCTGGAGAGACAGCTCAGTAGGTAAAGGGACTGCCCTGCAAGTACCTGAGTTCAATCACCAGCGTCCCCATTTTTTTTCAAAGCTGCGCCTTGTGGATGGGGTACAGGCTTGTAATCCTAGGTCTGAGGAGGTGGAAACAGTTGCCTGTGGGCTAGGTGACCAACCAGCCTAGCCCAATCTGCTAGTCCCTAACCAACGAGAAACTCTGTCTCAAAAACCATGGTCCAGGCATGAAGAATGAGACTCGATGTTGTCCTGTGACCTCCATTAACATGCCTACACATGTACTCACCCTCCACATACACAAAGACATGACCAAATAAACAGGCAATCAATTAGGTTAAAAAAAAAAAAGAATTAAAAAACACAAACATTATGATTTAAGACTAAGTTCTTACATTTAAATAAGATGATTATTACGGTCATAATATTAGACACCAGAAGAATTACCTTCTGTATATTCTAACGAGACTTCATACAAGTCATAAATTAAACCTAGTATAAATGTTTGTGAAAAGTCAAATTGACAAAATGAAAATCAAAGATACTTCATACCCTAGTGCTTGCCATGTAACATGAAGACCTGAGTTCAGATCCTCAGGACCCAAGTAAAAGCCAGGCTGGCATATTGGCAAGCATCCATAACCCCAGAGCTGGAGGAGGTGTGGGGGTGGGGGCTTGGAGCTAATTGGCCTGCCAGTCTAGACAAATCAGTGAATTCCATATTCAGAGAAAGACCCTGCCTTAAAAACTAGAAGAGAAAGACAGGAAGTGGGGGAGGAGAGGAAGGAGGAAGGAGTGACCTGGGAGGTGAAGAAGGGGGAGACCTGTGAATATGATCAAGACACATTGTATGAAATTCTAGAAGACTTTAAAAACTTCCTGTTTTCTAAACTCAACTTTACTCCCAAAGGTCTCAACTCCATCTAGTTTCTCATCTATCAATACATATTTACATTAGTTATATCAAAAAACTACAGCTATAAGAAATAAATGTTTATGGGGAAATTAATACGTTAATGGTAAATAGTATAAGAGCTATTTATTATTATTATTATTATTTCTTATTTTACATATTGATCCTAGTTCCCTCTCCCTCCTATCCTCCCATAAACCCCAACCCCCCCTCCCATCCCATTCCCCTGGAAGTGAGGACTTCCAGAAGGGATAATCAAAATCTGCCAAGTCATTTGGATAGGGCCTAGCAGCCCCCACCCCCGTCTGAGACCCACATTCAGGGGGTCTGGGTCAGTCCAATGGTGGCTTCCCAGCTATCAGTCTGGGGTCTATGAGCTCCCCCTATTCAGGTCAGCTGTCTCTGTGGGTTTCTGCAGCCTGGTCTTGACCCCCTTGCTTATCACTCCTCCCTCTCTGCAACTGGATTCTAGGAGTTTGGCTCAGTGGAGGGGGTTAGGGAGTATGAGAGGATGGGAGCGAGAAGGAACTAGGATCAATATGTAAAAATAAGAAAAAAAAAATAATACATACGATTGTTATACATTCAGATCGCTTTTACTGTTGTGATATTTTTTCATATGACACCCCGCCCCCCATTTGGACAAACCCATACGGGGTTGGGATGCAGTATAAAACATTAGCCCTCTGAAGACACCAGTCACCAGTTCTTAGACCCAGAGACTGGCTTCTGTGTGATACAGTCCTTTAGTTGGGATGGTCAAGCCCCAGAATTTTAAAGACCAAATTCAAACCCTCAGCTTAGCTACTGAATCCTCTGTGAGCCAGAGGGAGATGCTCACACTGTAAGATTTTGATGCTGTGAATCCATTCTGCTGCTTTGAGCTTCCTAAGTTTCATCCAAGTTATGGTAATTCAAAGTGTTAAAGGGCAAACTTACAAAAAAAAAAAAAAAAAATGGAAGATGATTTCAAAAAAGGGAACTGCATATTGTCAGTGATCCTGTTTCATGATGATGGAGTGAATATTGAGAAACCTATGGACAAACGAGTTGTGGTGGTGAATACTACTACTAGTTCCAGATGCAGGCTGATGCAGGGGATATTGACTCCATGGCTAACCTGGGGTCCACAGTGAGAGCCTGTCTCAAGAAATAAAAATGAAGGACAGCACTATTTTATTTCATTTGTGTGTGTGTGTGTGTGTGTGTGTGTGTGTGTGTGTGTGCACACGCGCGTGCGCAAGAATATATACAGTTCAGTGTGGAGATTAGAGCACAGCTTATAGGATTCAGTTCCTCTTTCTACCATGTAGGGCCTCAGGAATCAAACTCAGGTCATAAGGTTTTGTGGCCAGCACCTTTATCCATTGAACCATCTTACTGGCCCTAGAAAATGCACCTTAGCTGGAAGTCAACATTCAAAAACATAAACAGAACTGTTTTAAGAGCAAGAAGAACCAATACTTTCTATCCTCATTCACTGTCCAATTCCAATACTAGATATGTTTTTCTAATTGTAACATTTTTATACACGAGTCTTTATTAAATTAGTGTACAGATGTACACTGATGTACATAGGTTTTGTTTATTGTCTTTTTTTTTTTTTTTAAATAATGTACCAATGACCGGGCTATGGCAGCTGCTGAGAAGAAACAGCTCCCATGCATAAATCACAGGATTTCTCTGGCCCATTGTATCCACTAGAAAGCTGTACCTACACAACAGCCTCCAGCAACCACAGGGCATAGTTTTTAAAACACAATTTGGGAGTGACATAATCACTAACCCAAGACATCAAATGGTTTAATTGAGTCTTATTGAGTCTCTTCTGCCAGTTTTGTTTTTTTCATTTCACTTCCACAAATAAAGCTTTTGGAGGTCTTAAGGAGGGATCCTGAAGGTGTAGGGAAAACTGACAGGCTGTGAGCAAATCCGAGCGTTTCTGACAACACCCTGCTGGGGCCACTCTGCCCTTGTCAGGACAGAAAGAATTTTTCAATGCTTCTTGAATGGATTGTCTTTATAGAAAGATGGCCCAAATTTGGTAACCGAATGCAGCAAGCTTAGATGATCGTTTTTTTGGGGGGGGGGGAGGAAAACTACAAATATTTGTAAATAAAAATCCATATATTCTCCATCTTCTCCAATCAACGAATAGAATCAACGAAACTATAAAGGACTTCTGAACAATACAATGAACTGAGCTTAAAACCAGCTGAAAGGTAGGCCTGAGTTTCAGTCTCCTGGCAGGCAGCACCAGGTTCCAGGAAAAGCCATAAGCTGACACCACCCAGAGAGGGCCAGCATCTAAGGGGTAGCACCCGACACTCCAAGCATCCCAACCATTAGATAGGATGAGGTGAGAAAATTAGATGCCCTTGAGCCCAGCATAGCACCTATTCCCCTTTTACCAAGACACCCTTAGACCAATGTCAGCCTATCGGAGTCTTGAACCCTGATAATCTACTCACCCCCAACCTCCACTATGATTTAAAAAAAACCAAACAAACAAACAAACAAAAAAACCCTACCCTGTTGGGTACTCTCTGCTCTCAACTACTATGTCAGATAGGCAGAGAGGCCAAGCACAAGCTTGAATAAAAAGGCTGTTTGCTTTTGCATACGATTCCATCTCCTTAGTGGCCTTGGGGGGGGGGGGTGTCCCTGAGATCTGGGCATGTTAGTATTCAGGCATCTGTACAGGCCTGTCCTTGGGGTCCTAACAGGGCACACCCTCCGCTTCAGCGGAGCACCACCTGTGCATATTCACTATGTTCCCTTTTAAAATGGCCCTGCCCACCTCCCATCTTTCTGCCTGTCTGTCTGTTCCCCCTTCTCTCTTTTCTCTCTCTCCAACTGCTCCCATCCCCGGAGGCCAGTCTCCCACCTCCCTTTTCCCCAATCCAACTCCCTAATACCACCCCCACCCCAGGCCGCGCTTGAATCCTGTGGCATGGCGTTTTTCTCTCGAACGATGCTTTTCTTAAATTACAATGATAACACACTTCTCTGAACTCTCCCAATGAACAGACATGAAACTAACTCTTCCAAACGAACTACTGTTGTGACAGTGTAAGGTCTGAATGGAAGACAACCTGTCCAACCATCTTTGTGGTTCACAGTCAAGTTAGACGGGAAGTGCTAGGACAATGGGGGTCCAGTGTTCCTTATCGTATTTCCACCAGTTTAAAGTTTGGTTTACAATTCCTGGCAGGATGTTTTACATACATTTTCAATCATTACAATACTCCCAGGGTGTAGGTACCGCCCCATTTTGTCAATAGTAAACTGAACTGCCAACAAATAGCTGGGTCCGAACCTCCACTTCTACATCTCTTCCCTGCCTTGAAAGAACATCCATCTTCAGTGGAGTGTTCTTCACAACATCTAGAATTGGCTATTGAGGTTCAATTTTCTTTTAGTTCTGTTAGCCATCCCTGGAGATGTAGAGCTTACTATTTTTATACTTTCCCAAGTACCTGGTAAATTCAGAAAAACTTCCGGCTGAGCAGCTCACCAGGCAAGAGGCCGGAAGAAAGGAAGTGAAGTCCTTTTCTCTCTCAGATGTATGTGTCCGGCAATCTCACTGGGGAAAGTGAGCTGGCAGAAGGAAACCAGGAAATGTCAAGGTGGGATCAAAAGAGTGAGCACGACTCACCTGCCCTCATCAAAGAAAAGAGACACTCACCCGCAGGTTACAACTCTCGGTACCGCCAGGACCCTTAAATTCCTTGCGGGAAACAACACGTGTTCAGTTCGCAGAACTCGCGGCCCACTGAACCACCGCCTCTGCTACAGAGCCAATCAGAAAATTCTGCGTCATCGTCAAGCGCCAGACATAGGCAAAGGCCCTGCTAAAGCAAACCCTGCAAGAGCCACCGATGCCATGGTAACTGGGCAATGCGAGCTTCCCGCGCGATGCCTCCTGGGAGGAGTAGTTCCAGAATGTCCGATCCCTGTCTAACTGGTAGGTGGTGGAACTACAACTCCCAGCACCACCTGAATGCAGCCTGGGAGGAGGAGAGGTTGTCACTGTTGTGGACCAAGTCTAGGCCTGAGCTTGGAGAAATGCTGGTGGCGTCCCAGGAAAGGTCCCCAAAGAAGAGAATGGAGCCGAGTCGCTGGAAACAGATCTCAAGCAAGCTGAATCCCAAGGTGATCCCAGTCGGAAGCTTTGAGGAATATGGGCCGGCCCTAGGCGCCACAGTCCTGAAGCCAAGCCTCTTCCCGCCCTGCGCTTCCTCCCTCTTCCCCCGGGGGCATCCTTATCTGGCCTTGGCTGCCCTCGAGCCAACACAGCCCCGAGAGGTGTGGTTCTAGGAGCCTTAGGGTCTGTAAGGATTGTTACCTGTTATCTAAGCGGAGAGGTTTACTAGTGCCCATTAGGGTGAGTGTACTTTGCCCCCAATCCTTACCTCTGACGCCAATTTTAGGAAACTTTCCTCACATTTTCCCCCTTCCCTTTCAAATCTTAGGTAAGGGACCTTTGAAAGGAAAAGAAAAAAAAAAAAAATCACATTAAATTCTCTGCTGTTAACCCTTATATCCCCAGCTTCCAGTTTTACATCAGATATCTAAAATGAACCCAGAAGGCCAAGTGGTTACATCTCAATACTTCATCCATATGGTTATTTCTAAATTCCACCAGCACTCAGAGATAGATCCTTGATCTATTACCCCGTCTGTGCACTAGCTCCTAAAGGCACGAAAGAAAAAAAGAAAAAAACTGACAATGCCTTTTTAAAATTGCAACAGACAAAAGTGACATGGGCAAGGTCCCAGTCATACCAAGTGTGCCTTCCAGAACACCTCTTTTACAGCCACAAAAATAACTGCTGTAAATGCAAATGAGAGTATTGACATGGAGGGGATTCAAATTTCAGCTGTAGAGTGGTTCCACCAATTGTTTTCACCCCACCCCCCACCCCCACTCCCCGGCTACACTTTCCTTTAAAAAGAAAAGCGGTCCTCTAGATGTGCAGCTTTTGAGGGGGCCCCTGGGCAATCATTCTTGTGGGGGTATTCTAAATATAGGAACTACGTACACAGGGCATATTCCACTTAGTGGAAATCATGCTTCTGATACTAGAGGGCATAGGCCAGCGCATTAAAGTGGAAACTGAGGTTGCTCCACTGCAAAGTATCAGTTGCATAATAGATGGGGCCCAAAATAGCTTATGAATATAGATTTGATGATGAAAGGTAAAAAATTTGGGACAACTTAGAACTACAAAAAAAAGTTTTTGTTTTTTGCTGATAATGCTCATTATTTCTGTCTAGAGGATAAAGAAAGTAAAGACACAAGAACGCCTTGAAATTGCACTGTTTGAATAGGATCAGCTCTTTCTTTGTTGCACTGACAGAGTTATTGAGCAGAGCAGCTGCTTTAATTGTGTGTAAGGTGGGCTGAAGGTGAAGTAGTAGGAGAAGCGAGGAGAAGATTATGCCTTTCCTACCAGCTTCCATGTGCCAGTCAGTTTGCTGTCCCATCATTTTTATTTTTAAATACCTGAATTTTTTTTTCAGAGTAAATACCCCTGTTTGCTCAGTGATTATTGGAGAGAGTTCTGTAAGATTCTGGGAGTCACAGAGAATAGAGGCTCCTTGGGGTCTGATTTCTTGTTTCTGAATAATATTGCATCTCGGTAGAGGCACCAGGTGGTGTGGAACGACTTTAAACCCAGCACTTGGGAGGCAGATCTGTCTGAGTTCAAGGCCAGTCTTGTCTATAAAGAGAGTTCCAGAACAACTCAAGTTGTTAAACAGATAAACCCTGCCTTGAAAAAAAAGAAAGCAGAATCATCTGGATAGAGATTAATTTTCTTCATATATGCTTGTTGCAATAGTAGATAGAAGCTGAGTAGTATAATTCTGTTCTACACCCCCACTCTTGTTGAACCACACATCATCTCGGGTGTAGAAAGGACAGGAAGGCATTTGGCTGTTTGTGCAAACAGGAAATAAAGGACCATAACAGTCTTTAAGCAGAAAATTACACAGAGAGGCGATTTAACCAGTATTAGTCTGGGTTTTCACAAGGAGTTTCACATCTACTATTTCTGTACCTTGAGTCTTAGCCCTGGAGAACTTAAGAAAAAACACTGATGCTTAGACTGCTGATCAGTTACATTACAGTCTCAAGGCAGGTAGACAAGAAGGAAGAAGGATGTCCCGGGCAAGGCTCCCTGTTCCTTCTACTGTGGTTTAGTGTGCTTTCATTGCTAGTTGGTGCTGAACTTGCATATGAACTTTCCATATATGTTAGTGGGAAGGATGGCTTAAAATGGCAATGTTGATAAAACGATTGTTGTGCTAATACTTTATCTATTTTCTACAGTCTGCATTTGACCCTGACAATGTGGGGCACTGGATTAAGGTAAGGCATTTCAAAACCAGGATAGAAAGAGATGTGAGAGTCAGACATAATAACAGATCTCCAGTGTGCATGTGCATGGCTGTTGCTATTCTCATGTGATTATGTATCTTGCCTCAATTTTATACTTTAAAAAAAAGATTTATGTATTATGTAAAAAATATTCTGCCTGCATGTATGCCTGCAGGGCAGAAGAGGGCACTAGCTCTTATTTCAGATGGTTGTGAGCCACTATGCGGTGGCTAGGAACTGGACTCAGGACCTCTGGAAGAGCAGCGAGTGCTCTTTTAAGCACTGAGCCTAGAAATACCAGGAATGCTGGTTAGAACCTGGTGAACTGCTCAATAAATTCAACATTACATAAAAAAACT